TCGTTTATCACTCCACAGCACGCATATTGCACTCCCTTGCCCTTTTTTTTTTGCTCACTCTGCCTTTCCCAATGTCAAGGCGTTTGTCCCAGCCAGGTGATACAGACAATGCCATCTACTGTAACACATCTATTTTAAGTGTGTTATCTCTGCTCCCCCCCCCCACTCGTCCTGAGCCGACCGGCCGCACTCAGCCCCGCTCTGGGTCGGATACAGTGGAGAGGGCCTCCTCCGAAGGGCCGCGGCATGAACGCGGTGAAGTGTCTGAGAGCTAATCCGCGGGCAGGATGTTTTGAGTTTATATGCAAAACAAAACCAGCTCATGAAACTTAACTTAAATGAAAAAAAACCCAGTCATGTTGCACCTGAGTTACAAGAACAGCTCAGCATCTTTTCTTCTGATTTTGCACAATTGAGAGCTCATAGGATTAAACAGCACTTTGTTACGTAGGCAATAAGGGTGTATTTGAAGTCACGTGCGCGGCCGACGTCACTGGAGTGTAATAAAGACTTCCAGGGCCACTTCCCTGATGATCACTTCTGCAGTTTGTTCTGTGACTGCTGACAGTTGGAGTGCCATTAAATGATGACCTTCACAATGAGGAAGATTGTCTGTGAACACACGGGTTATGTACTGCACTCTCTGCGGCTGTAGGGTGTGTTTGATGTTAGTAAGAGGAAGGCAACATGCTATTGGCAGTCTAATCATATCAGTCTGAAAAAAAAAAAAGATTGCTAACAAGCTGACACATCAGTCTCACCTCTGGCTGCACAGATTAACACATTACTGCAATTAATTTTGGCTTGCGCCAACCTATTAAAAGAATGGCATATTGTTGTGTAACCGTGACATTTTGGACCGGATGAAAACAGCCTGGCAGTATCCGTTATGTGCAGCTGAGTTGAACAGACAAACGTGTCAAACTTGTTTTGACATAGCTGGTAAAAATGTGGCCTAAGGCTTGTTTATAATTTATAATCAAATATCACTCTTTAGTTTGGCACGCATACAATGTATGGCAGTTTCATCAAAGGAAAATGTGGTTTTCTTTGCTCAACACCTACACATTTAAATTAAAGATTGTGGCAAAGTGACTGAGAGCAGGTAGAAGAGCGGTGGTGGAAGTGTTCAATAAAAGCTCATCGTGCTGCTTTTGACAGTCTCTTGATATTGAACCATATACTAGAGGCACTGGCATACTTTACTCCTCTATTCAAAGCTGTGCACCGACTGCACTTACCGCTGCTACTAGGTTACAAAGTTACTTCACCCCTCTGTGTGAAATGTTCAAAAGATCAGGGAACTCTGTCGCACTAATTCTGTCGTAGGGTACCAACTTTTTGGGGTTATTTATTAACGTTTTTTTAATATGGATTTTTCCTTCTGCCCCTTTAACTGCACTATTTGGGGTGGTGGAGCCAGGTAGAGTGAAGAACAGGGTATGAAGCTGCGGCCGCTCTCTATCCACGCTGTAAAGAAAACTGCAGCTACAATTCTGGAAATCTGTCCCCGAACGTTTGACATGTGGCTTAAGGAATTAGAAAACGTATATATTAAATTCACAAAGTCAAACAAACAAGCACTGATCTGAGGGAACTTGAAGGGAACGGTTGGTCAACCTTGTAACTTCTCCTCTTTTGTGTTCTGCTGTATTTCTTTACCACTTTTCAAACAGAAGTTTTAAAAAAAAGCGATAAAACAGCGTAAAAACTACTGAATTACAAGTAAAAGTGTTGTAAAAGTACCTAATAAAAAGGTAAAGGTGTAAATAAAGTAATGTTGAAACACATTCAGCTTCTCACATTGCTGCTTATCGCACATTAGTCACATTCACTGAAAACTGAATATCTTCGTGTTTTGGACTGTTGATCAGATCAAAACAAAACATCACCTGGGGAAGGTGTGAATGGCATTTTTTAAAATCCTTTTTTTATAATAAGTCACTTATAATCTTAAATTGCAGCACTAAAACATTATATAACTGTCGGGTAGTTTCATCATTAAAGGATGTGAAAACCATAATGAGCAGAAGTGTTTCCCTTTAACATGAGGTGGAGAAGAAGTATAAATAACATAAATACTCAAGCATTACTGTAAATGTACTGTTACTTTCCACCACTTTTTACAGGTGTATCACTTTCTCTAATTGATTAACAGGTATCTTACTACAAGGACAAACATTGAATAGAGTGTTTTATAAACCAAGAAAACAAAAAACAAACACAAAAATCCCACTTTTTGTTCCCCATCATGATCCTGTTGTACTGGAGTGGGTGAACAAACACCCTCACCTGCTGACTCGGGGGTTTAATTGTTAATTGTTGTACTCACCGTGAGTGTATATGTTCCCAAGTTCATTGTGCAGGTAAAACAGGCTTCTGATGCAGTCTTGCACCGAGGAGATTGGCCGGTATCCCGTCAGGACGTACTTATTGAACTGAAGATGTGGAGGTGAATTCGCCCAGTCCAGCAATCTGGGTCCATTTAAAAATGCCATAGCAAACAACCCCGTTAAAAGAACCCCGCCGAATAAGTAAAAAACAGACTGTACACCTATATACACATTTAATAAGATTATTGCGACTACCACCTTATGGGATACCATTTGTGTTGGCATTTGTTTTCTTTAAGGGTTCTTAAAATATTATATATTGTGCTGTTTTTGTTTTGTTTTTGTTGTTTTTTTTTCCAACTCAAAGTCTCTCACAGCACTACCCGGAGCCGCCCGGTACCGGTGCGAGTGTCATCCGCAAGGCTGGAGACAGACACGGCCAGCCTCGTACATGGTTCCGAGCTCGGTGCGGTCATCACATTTGGGCGTCTTTTTTCTTTTAAAAAATGTCCGTGTAGCGCCTGAAAGCCTTCGGAGGTTTGTTCCTCGTCATGTTAGTGAAGGGAGGCAGACTTCCTCACCGGGTTTCATCCCGGTGCAGCGGCGGGAAGCCTCGTCCCAACCCGGGATGCTGTGGTGGGAAGAGCGCGGCGGCGAGTACCATCCAACTCCAGATGGGATGCTAGGGTTTT